GGATAAGATAAGATAAGATAAGATGAGATAAGAATTTTATTGATCCCACAGTGGGGAAATTTGCCCATTACTGCTGAGATAAGACTGATACAAATGGTGAGTTTTATCCAGTCTGTTGTTGAAGTATACTGCACTGCAGTAGCAACACGTTAAAAATGACGATCATTTACAGAAAACAAAACTGTGTTGGATATCCTCTCCCTGGGCTGCCACGTTATTGTGGTAGAGAGGTTTGAGTGTCCCAGTGATCCTTGGAGCTTTGTTGTCAGGGGCTTCATTCCCCCAGTAGGGTTACCCAAGGCAAACAGGTTCTAGGTGAGGGATCAGGAAAAAGCGTAGCCTAAAGACACTTATGATGAGTAACAACAATGTATCAGTGAACCCTCGCCCAGAAGTGGGTAACCGGGGCCCCTTTGTGGAGCCAGGTTTGAAGGAAAAGCATGTTGGCGAGTGCCTGGTGGCCGGGCTTTCACCCATGGAGCCCGGCAGGGCACAGCCCAAAAGGAGGCGTGGGTCCACTTTCCCATGGGTTCACCATCTGTGGGAGGGATCGGGTGACATGTGTAATGGGCAGTGGTTGAAGACGGTGGGGGGGACCCTGGCGGTCCAATCCTCCACTACAGAAGCTGACTCTAGGGATGTGCGGAAGGAGCTTGAGCTGATGTGAGGTTTAAAGGTTCCAACTAGATTTAGCTGGACACATCTTGATGCACCACTCTGGCTCTGGAACCAGTGTCCTTGAGGTGGGTTGGACACTCTTTCACTCTGGAGTTACCCATACTGAGAGGCTCCAAGCAGGAGTGGGCATGCTTATTGCCCCCCATCTTGGTGCCTGTACAGTGGGGTTCACCCTGGTGAATGAGAGGGTAGCCTCCCTCCACCTACATATGGGGGGATGAATCCTGACTGTTGTTTGTGCCTATGCACCTAACAGCAGTTCAGATTACCCACCCTTTTTGGAGTCCTTGGAGGGGGTTCTGGGGAGCGCTCCTGATATGGACTCCCTTGTCTTGCTGGGGGATTCAACGTTCATGTGGGCAATGACAGTGAGACCTGGAGGGGCGTGGTTGGGAGGAAAATTACCTGAATCCGAGTGGTGTTTTGTTATTGGACTTCTATGCTCGTTATGGATTGTCCATAACAAACACCATGTTCAAACATAAGGGTGTCCAAATGTGCTCTTGGCACCAAGACACTCTAGGCCACAGTTTGATGATCAACTTTGTTGTTGTCTCATCTGATCTGCGGCTATATGTCTTGGACACTCAGGTGAAGACAGAGGTGGAGTTGTCAACTGACCACTACCTGGTGGTGAGTTGGATCCATTGGTGGGGGAGGATGCCAGTCAGACCTGGCAGACATAAACATATAGTGAGGGTCTGCTGGGAACGTCTGTCAGAATCTCCCATCAGACTGAGCTTCAACTCACACCTCTGGGAAAACTTTGAACACGTTCCGGGGGAGGTGGGGGACATTGAATCCAAGTGAGCCATGTTCCGTGCCTCCATTGTTGAGGTGAGTTATCTGACCTGTGGCCGCAGGGTTGTCGGTGCCTGTGCAGCAACCTTTGAACCCGCTGGTGGACATTGGCAGTGAGGGATGCTGTCAGGCTGAAGAAGGAGTCTTATCAGTTTTTTTTTTTGCCTGTGGGACTCTAGAAGCAGCTGATAGGTATCAGCAGTCCAAGTGGCTTGTAGCTCAGATGGTTCGATTCTTGTCCACCATGCAGGATCTCAAAGGGGGAAAGCGGTTCACCACCAACAGTTTATTGTGGGGACGGTGTGCTGCTGACCTCAACTCGTGACGTTGTGTGCCGGTGGGCGGAGTACTTTGAAGACCTCCTCAATCTCACCAGCACATCTTCCCATGAAGAAGCAGAGCCTGGAGACATTGGGTCGGACTCTCCAATCTCTGGTGCTGAGGTCACCGAGGTGGTAAAAATGCTCCTCAGCGGCAAGGCACCGGGGTGAATGAGATTCAACAATATATGATGATAGTATCGGGGCTAATGCTAAAGCTAACAGGCTAAGCTGAGGTTGTTCTTCCATGAAGCAGCTCTGTTGTCCTCCATCCATATTTTCAGTTCCAGGCTGAGTCATTTCTACCTTCTCCTCTCTGTCAACGCTCTCTGGTTTCATTTAAAAGAGTCGATCATCAGATATTGTCCAAGATTAACCTTCAGGGTGGATATAGCTCACTAGCAGCCTCGTGCCGATGACCTAGTTGATGTCATCATTTACCCAGAATGATTTGTGTGTAAGTAATATATTTTTAAACTTTTAGTTTAGAAATTATAAAAACTAAACAGCCTATAGTATTTTTACAGTCTTTATTTTACATTTAAATTATATGTTTATCAAATAAAGTCTAATGTTACAACTAATCGGGGATCCCTTTAACAAATAAGGGAAGAATGGAGCAGGAGATTGATAGGTGGATTGGTGCTTTAACTGCAGTGACGCAGGCACTGTACTGAGCCATTGTGATGAAGTGAGAGCTGAACCAAAAGGTATCCAACTAGGAGGAGACCAACTGGAAGACTCAGGACATGCAGGAGAGACTATGTTTCTCAGCTGGCCTGGGAACACCTTGGGATTTCCCCAGAGGAGCTAGCCCAAGTGGCTGGAGAGAGGGAAGTCTGGGTCTCTCTGCTTAGACTGCTGTCCCCGCGACTCAATCCCGATATGTGGAAGAAAGCAGACGTGTCGGATATTCTTTATCATAACTTTGGTTTTACTTGACCTATCAACGCATTTTAAAAAGTGGTGTATTGTTCGAGGTCTCTACCTTTAAACATCCCAGCAAAGCATGTTGTGCTGAAAAGTTGGGTTAGCCACAGAGCTGCTCCCCTGCTAGCTAGCTGCAAACTGTTGAGTGGATTTCCTGCATGGAGGGGGGTCTCATTACTGTGTGTCTCAGTGAGATTCACATCTGTTTGGTTTAAATGCCATTAGTGGGATGGAGGTAAAATTTAGGACCAAGGTATGGATTAAGTTTAGGTTAGGTTTAGGGTCAGGGGTTAGAGTTAGGGGTAAGGGGTCAAGGTTAGGCTAAAGAAATCAACTGAAGTCAATGGAATGTCCCCATATGTATAGGTGGATGCAGCTCGGTGTGTGTGTGTGTGTGTGCGTGCGTGCGTGCGTGCGTGCGCATGCGTCGCATGGCGTGTGTTTGTCCTTGGGTGAGATGTGCTCTGTTTTTCTGCACCATGCGCATCGTGCTCCTGTGGTGGTTAAAGGGGCAATTTCATGTAAAATCCACCTTTTTGAGTTTTATATCCTGTTATATTGTTATATTGTCATAAAAAACATGCCCAAAGCCTTGCTTTGACTCATTCATGCATGTTTGAGAAATCCTGCAGCGTTTTTAGGAAGCCATGCTGAGGAGCAAAACGACAGGTGGGGACCAGAAACGCCTTTTGGGACCAAAAACACCTCTGGGTTGTGTCCTTTTGGGACAAGCCCCTCTTCTGGGATGTGTCTTTAAGCCGAACTTCCTCATGGCAGCCCCCCCACCCCGCCCCCGCGACTCCGGCAGGCTACGTGCGGAAACGGGTGACCAAAGTGGTTGGATTTTCTTAAAGAGACAAAGACCTATTTCAACGCATTTAGAAACTGTCAAGATGAGAAGTAAATTGTTTTGGGGATTTTTTTACAAATATATAGCACTTTCATAATCTGAAAATATGACATAGTTACTTTATTTTAGTATAAAATTGAAATTTAGGCTTGGAAAGCACATAGTATTGCCCCTTTAAATGATGAAAAGTTTGGCATTTATTGACCAAAGTTTCAAAGATTTAAATGTTTAGTACATCTGCAACATGATCATTATTACAAATGTATTGATTAACAAAAACAGCTGGTTTGTGATGTTTATTACATTATTACAATATCATTTCTAAAAAGAAGAGCAACCACCGCATTTTGTAACAATCGCCGCAAAATGTACTAAAGTTATTTCATAACATGGCAGCGAGTATTACAAAAATGCATTGAAGACTTTTGTTACATTTTATGTCAGTTATTACATAATACAGTTTTAGTGAGGGTTTATTACATTTTGAAGCCCAATTTTATTACATTATTACAAAATGCGGCATTATTGCAAAATGTGGTGCTACATGGCTAACACATGGTAGGATCAACAGGTGTTGAAGGGTCCTAAAAATATTGTGTTACACTTCCTTACAAAATCGTAATGATAGCTTATTTTACAGGGAGTGCTGAGTTAAAATTTATAGGTGCTTGAGCACCCACAAACAGTGGCTAAAATTGCCACTGATTGAAGCCATCCTAAACTGGGATGACTCTCAAAGTCAATCACACACATCCAATAATTGTTCTTTGAGATTTACTACAGTATGTCGAGTGGTCCTTTTAATTTTGGACTAACAGACACACAGCGTTGACTTAAACAAATAATTGTAGGCAATGATTTTGCACAATGTGTGCTACTCAGACCAAAAATGACAGTTGCCAGTAATAGTCTGTGGTGTCCATTTTAAAAAAAATGTTATTTGACTATTTTGACTTTGCTCCCACCTACCATTATCCTAAATTTTAGTTCAATATGTCTAAAAATGAAAGTTTTTTTTCTTTTCCCTTTGGCAGCCACATTGGATTTTGGGCCTGGGTTCAATATGTGATGGGGGATTGTCTTCAGCTACCACAACACCAATATTTAACTCCATTTCTCTAAAACTGGCTGACTTGTAACTCTTTTTTTTTTTTTTTTTTTTTGGCAAACATTCTTGGATTTTAGACCTAGATTTAGTATGTGACAGATGTCCTACACCTTAATTATGGCAAGGAATAAGAGTTTCAATAAAATCCACTCCATTTCAGCAGTGGGCAATGACAATGTTATGTTTAAAGAACACTTCAATTTCTGAAATTATTGTAAACCTCTAAAACCTTTATTTTAATTAAAATATAAATTGAATTAAAATGATGCTGAACTCTGGTGAATGTTTTACTGAGCCATGTGTTTGTACTTGCCTGTGAAGATGTCCTGAAATCCGCAACGAGAAATCTGTCCATAGGAGGATCTTCTGGTAGCACAGATGGGCTGACTTCCTCCTCCCCTGTTGCTCATCAGATATTCTACTGAACCTCCTCCATCATCTTCTCTGCTCCTGAGCCGCATCTCAAGTTCCTCTGTCCAGTCAGCTGATCGACTGATGGGGCTGGTGAGGCTTCGGGTGCGATGTCGAGCCTTGTGACCCTCAGCCAACGTCCTATCAGCATTTACAGCTGTGGTTAGTATTTTTAAAAGTAACTCGCCATACAGTTTAACACATGCCATTTTGTTAAAACATTCTACAGTATAAGACTTGTTACTTAAATTTAATTTCTAACTATTGCCTTGAAACCATAAAATAGAAGCACAAATACAGGTGCTGGTCATAAAATTAGAATATCATGAAAAAGTAGATTTATTTCAGTAATTCCATTTAAAAAGTGAAACTTGTATATTATATTCATACATTACATACAAACTCATATAT